GATCGTCGAACTATAAGTACGCTACCGTCGCGCTGACAGCATGGATTTTCGTCAGTGCGATTGCGCGAAGCCAAGTCGGACAATCAGATCGACATGAATTCGCTTGATCCGATTTTTATCAAGAATTCGCTTGATCCGATTTTTATATCATGAATTCGCTTGATCCGATTTTTATCTGGGGCTCTTTTGTCACAAAATGACTCCACCAGAGAGTTTTTCAGGTGATCAAAGAGTTCCTTGCTGGAAATCGAAAACCAGGAAACTGCATAAAAATTCGATTCACTTATTACCAAATGACTCCCTATTTATAAAGGTTTTGATCCGAAGCTACAACTGATTTAAAAGTAAACAAACGGATCGGCCTGATGTACTTCCACGTCATATTTCGTTGGCATGCAAAACTTCGTGTCAAACCTGCTGGCTGGAATGAGACTTTTGGGAAACAAGTACCGAGCTTCGCTTCAATTGGGTATTTGGTGGATGAATCTTCTGCTCTAGAACGCGACCACATGACAAGATTGACTTTTTTGTCAAAATTTGCAGAATCTTCTGCTCTGCAAATGTTTCCAAGATTATTACATGATAAAGAATCAAGTGGTGAACCCGTCTTTTTACACCGAATGCAATCAGTCATGGTCGAAGGGGAATAATAGGTCAAGGATCAATTGAAGATGAAGATGTTGACGATGTCCTTATCTCCTTGTAATAATGACATGGTTCCAGTCCATATTGACCATGTCTTCTTGTTCTGACAAAAGGTGATGAATTAATTCGTTCCGTTAAACAATTAAAAGCCAGATGCTACAGTCAGCATAGTACGGTAATGTATCCAGCAGCCAACAATCCACCCTCAGACTCACTCATGATCCCATCAATGGCTGTCAGTTTCAGTTGCGGCCACCAATTCAACACTTTGTCAGTGGCGAAGATGTCCTGCCTGTCAGTGCTGTCAGTTTTCAGTATCGTTCCACGACATACAGCACTTGCCGTCACCATTCTCACTTTGACAATTCTGTTGCGAGTGATACTCGCAAGCTCATTTAGATGAAGGTGTATCAAGTGGAGTAGTATTACCGGTAGTAGACCTCTTCGAAATCTAAACTCTCCGTCTAAAACCTTTTTCTATATGTTTCTATTTTTAAAAGTCCCATTTTTCATCATTTGGAGAGGGTTGCTGCACATTGTTGCAAGGACTTGTAGTGCTTGGTCAAATGATCCAGTCGTCTCTCCCTATTCTCTTGTTTCATTTCGTTACTTGTGTGTTTCCCGTCTTGGGTCATGGAGGAGAAACGACGAGTGCCGATGGATTGCTGGATGGCGAGTGCAGAAGGACGGGAGGATACATTCTCGTACCAAGTCGACAGACGTGGCAACTTGGACGCATGGAAGGCCCAGTCATGACGAATGCCCTTGGTACTACTATCGTCGTTTCCACCTGTTTCGACTTGCGGATCACGCATTTGCATCATGGTCAACAACAGCAAAATGTGTTCCCAATACGCAAACAAATGAATATCGGCCAAGGTGAATCGCTGACCACAGAAATAGGGGCCAGGAAATTCTGCCAGAGCAATTTGTTCCACTTTTGTAACGATTCGTTGTGTGTTCAATTCCAATTCTTGCTTTTTTTGTGCATAGGCGCTGCTTGTCTGCTTTGCAACGGAATTCTCGCCACAGTGCCATTCCAACCAGAACACCAGGGTGTCGTTCCAAATCTGCTCCATCTTGACATGTTGGCGCAAGAATTTGTTCATGTTGTATTTCTCCAGTGGATCAGATGGAACCAAGGCTTGTTGATCCTTCCAGCATTGATCCGTATATTCGGCCAAGGGCAAGGTCCCAAACAAAACCCTCCCTTTATGAATCAAGAAAGGAGTACTCTCGTCCAGTTGATGCTCTTCCTGCATTTTCCGAACATTTACCGCACCCTTCTTCTCTTGTAGGCGGCCGTCGTCACTGCCCGGCGATTGGAGATCAAACAAGATTGGGTTTGACGGGTTTGGCTCGTGTTCCAACATCGACATCCAAGCAACAGTGGCATGTGGAGACGTATCATCAAGCACAAGGAGTGGCTTCGATTCTTGGGAATTGGAATCTGCATTCACTCCGAATGCGTCAGCAAGAACTCCTTCAACCTCGGCAATGGCTGGTGGCATGAATTTTCCAAACGGACCACCTTCTTCCTCCTTGAACCGTCGACACTCTTCCTGCATTGTGGCCTCGACTAATGGATACAAATCCTTCCAACCATAGTATGTCACTTGCTGCAGTAGAAAAGCAACCTCCTTCTCCTTGGCATCATAGCTTTGAGAAGCAGAGCTTTGTTTGTTCCTGTTTCGATCCAGCTTGGACTGACCCCAGCCTCCCGTATTTTCGCTATCAGAACCTTCGTTTGTTGGGGGTTTCTTGCTGAAAGACAACCATGACATGCGCCGTCTAAGCTTCCTGATTTTGCTGTCATAGTGATCCTTCTCGGCTTTCAATTTCTTCAAGATCCCAACATCCTCACTGATATGTGTCGATACAATGTCTTCCCATTCAACGACGTAATCCAAAATTTCACGAGGCTCAAGCGATTCATGGGCTGGTGGGGATTCTTTTGGTTCATCATTGAGTCCCGAATACTCTTCCTCCACCTCCGCCTCTTCATGTTGCTGCTTTAAGCTCGTAAACCATTGTCGTATCAATTTATCAGCTTCACCATTGGCAATATCTGAGAACAAATCATCGCAATTATCCAAGAACTATAATGGTATATCCGAAAGAGCAATGACAGTACGACAGCAACGAAACGTTAGTACTGAAAACGAGAAGGGAAACAGAAGAATATGCTGGGCACAGACAGCAATATCCATAACTTACTTGTACTCTGGCGTCCCTCAATTCTTGCTTGGCTTGATGGTAAATGGAAACTGAAGGAATGAGCGACTTGAGTCGACCCGCCAATATGCGATAATCTTGAACCATTTCTTGGACGGTCGACGGTGCGGCTGTTATTTGTGGTGGAGCCGTCACACCATCGTTCTGGTCATATGTTCCTCCAATCATTCCATGTTCGGATATTTCGGGTGTGCGATATGGATTCTCTTCTGCGACGGAATCCTGCTTCTGCGACGGCAGCAGCTTCGAACTCGATGGCTCGGAACCAGTCTTGGTTCGACGCGAAGGGTCAGGCGACGAGTAATAGTCGTTACGTGCAGCAAACAATCTCTCGGCCACGCTCTTGAAGATTTGTTTCTTGGGAACTGATGATGTACCATTCACTGCTTCCTTCTCGTGGCTCTTATCATTCTTGCGTTGTTGCAAGAGTTCAATGTGGTTGTTGGTAATTGTACTTTGGGTCGATTTGCTGTTGCTGCTGGGATCAGGATACTGTTCGGATGGTGAAGCACTCTTTGGTGAGTTGTTATTGATATGAGCACGGATCATCGGTGCATCATTTTTTTGCTCATCCGTAGACGAGACTACTACTGACGGGTTCAGAATTGATGAATTTTCCGTCATGTTGTCAGCAGCATCGTCAGTCTCACCTTGTTGCTCCCGTTGGCTGCCTTTCTCAGTGCTTCGATGACTAATTGAGCCATCCATGCTATAGAGCTCCGCGTCTTCAGAAAAGAAACTCCTTCCCGACGAAGATGACGCGGACATTCTTCGTTGCACCGACTCTTTGGTCGCCACCACGTGCCGTCTTCGAGGACCACGCCTTGGTCCACCACCACTACCACCGCCAATGGTTCGAAAACCCCGTTCACTCTGACTCATATCGGCGCCAATGGACCGTAGTCCCCGTTCGCTTCGACTCAGATCCGCACCACCAAAAACTCGTAATCCCCGTTCACTTCGATTCATATCGCACGATGATGAAGTATCAATCGTCCGAAGTCCCCGTTCACTTCGACTCAGATCAGCCCCCACTGTCCTCAGCCCACGTTCGCTTCGACTCAGATCGGCACCCAAGGTTTTGGTCACAAATCTCTTTTTGCTGGGACTTGTCATCGCACCACTACCAAAGGCAGTCCGCAATCCCCGTTCGCTCCGACTCAAATCGGCACCCACGGTCCGGAGTCCCCGTTCACTGCGACTCAAGTCGGCACCTATCGTTCGCAATCCCCGTTCGCTACGATTCAGCTCGTCGTGCTGTGATGATGATGGTGGTGACGGCCCCACCCTCCCCAATCGTCCTCGCGGACCATCACCACCAAAAAATGTCCGTTGTCCTCGTTCGCTTTGACTCAAACCATTTCTTTCTCCTCCTCCTCCAAAGCCTCCTCGAGAAGAAAGTCCACCACCACCATAGGTTCGGAATCCCCGTTCACTCCTACTCGGATCAAGGCGACTCCTTCTGGGTGGACTCACACCAGTGCTCCTCCTTGGTGGACTCACACCAGCGCTCCTCCTGGGTGGACTCACACCAGCGCTCCTCCTGGGTGGACTCATGTCCCGATATTTATCGTTCAACTCCACCATACTGCTTCCTCCCTTCAATGGTTCTACAATTGGTTCGATAAAACTCGAATCGGAATCATTTCTGCGCGGTGGACTCATGTCACGATATTTCTCGTGGGTGTCCCAATCCCTCAGACTTCCTTTCAGCGGCTCTATCGTTGGGGAACTGGTATTGTCTTGCATTCTGGGGGGACTCATGTCACGATACTTGTCATCGAAATCCATACTACTGCAGCCACTGCCTTTTAATGGTTGTACAGTGGGTTCGACGGATAAATAAGAGGAGGAATATTCACTGTTGGAAAAGGTCATGGAGGAGGCCCCAAAGGTATTTGCTCCGTCATTGTCATTCATTTGAAACCAATCCGGTTCATCCATATCCGAGGAATCATTGCCGCTTTCCAGCTCTCTGACAATGTCTTGTTGCTGAGTTAGACGCATTTGATCCTGTAGTGACTTTTTCGTCTTATGATTCAAACCCTGCTGATCCTGAAGAGTCATGGATCGGATCAGTTCCACCTCGTCTTCATCATCAGAATCGATTTCCGTTTCATCCTCGATATCATCGTCCAAATCGAATGGATCGACGATTGGAACACTGCTGTTATCAGCACTAGTATGTTCGTTCTCGTCATCATCATCATCATCATTTAGTTCACCGTCTGAATCAATTTCATCATCCTTGTCTGAATCCATTTCACTGTGTTCATCTTCATAATTGTGTTCTGTTTCTTGTTCCTCTGCCACATCCTCGTCTTCTTCTTCAATGATGCAATGAATGGAAGACATGCTTTGGGAAAATCCCAACAGTTCAGCCTCGCTTTCGGTTGACGTGCGTTGGATGGGCTGAGTGTACACCTGAGGAACCGAGGAGGTTTCCATGTTATTGTTGTTGTGACGCTTGTTCTCGCACTGCCACAGTAGAGAGGTGCGATTCGATCAATCGTCTTGGATCCAGATTGAGGATGTATCCTTTCAAAGAAAATGTTCACGGGTTCGTACCAGGTACACCTCTACTACGACTATTGCTCAGATGCGATGATGACAACGGGAACTCAAACGACTCTCACTCAATCTGTCATGAAGTCTTCAGCGTGAAGAATGGTAGTTCGTTTTGGATGACGCCGTCGTACGGGTTGAGTGTCTTATGTACGAGGTTCCCCAGGTACCAACAAAAGACATAAAGGTTTCTCATATGTTAGAATGACCGTGTTCTTCTTTGGGATTGGCGAGCTCGCGGTATTCGACCGTTTTGCTTAAGTGGTTCAGTGTTTCGCTTGTTTCTCTTAACTAGTTTCGCTTTTTCCGCGCGTGCTTCGTTATCCGTCGATGCTGGAGATTTTAGAAGGAGCTTTTCAAGTACCACACAAGATCTTGATTGCGTACCTTCAAAGCATCCACCACCAAAAGCAGCGACGATACGTCAACACGCTGCCAACATCATGACTATCATCCTCCTGCAATACAAACCATCACCATCATTATCCTTACCGCATCAGTCAGTCTTTCCTGGTCTGCAACTTCTCCTAAAGAACAGGAAGAAGGCTCCTCGATCGCCGGGGTCTGGTGCTACAACAAAGGGAACTGTTCAAGTCCTTACTTCATGCAAAGATCCTGCATACGTCATCATAATCTGAAATCCATCCAACGCGTAAATTGTGATGGATGGTCTCTCATCATCGTCATTATCATGCAATACTGCTTGTATCCACAGCGCACATATATACGCAAATAGAATGATCTTCTCCGCTTCAGCACCATCTCTATCTTTACTCGTGGTCCTATGTTTCCTATTGGTATTGATGACAGAGCAAGCGCACGGTTTCACACAAACGTCATCGTCATCGTCGTCAACACATGACCGAAGTAGCTGCACTCAGGATTCTCATTATCTTCCTGCAACACGAACAATAACGACTCCAGCACGCCTTAGTTGTCGCATCAGCATTTCTCTGTCTGTAACCTCGAAAGAAGAAGAACAACAAGAAGATTCGTCTGCCACAATCTTATCGGCCAAAGCCAAGGCTTTGCAAGAAAAAGCTGAGCAATTGCGTGCCGAGATTGCCGCCTTGCAAGATTCCAAGGATCAAGTCCAAGAAACCCAACGACAAGAATTACAATTACAACTAGACCAACAGGAAGCGTATATGCAACATTATTCGGGTGAAATTCCCATTTTGAAACCAGATGGGGCCATCGTCATGGAACAAGTTCAATTTCCGCCCTTGGTTAGTTTTGTTCCGAAAGAAGAGGAAAACGAAGAATCCAACACGAATGAAAATGGACAACAGTCATTTCCCAGCGAAATTTTGGTATGCGAAGCTCCCTTGCCATTGGGAATGATTCTGGGACAAGAACGAGCGGAACGAAATGCCATGATTGTGGTCGATGAAGTGTTGGAAGATTCCAACGCAGCTGTCGTGGCGGGAATCCAAGAAGGCGACATTCTACGGGCCTGTACCAGCTGCAAGATGGAAATGGAACAACCGACCTGGCAGCTATTAGTGGGTGGAATTGGACGACCCAAGACGGTACGCTTCATGTTTGGTACCGACGATCAACCATTGGAGACCGTCTTGGAAGCCTTGGGGGCCAATCGGATGGACCCAGAGGCGCGACCAGTGGTACTGGTGGTGGAACGGCCCAACAAGGCGAGTGAACAATAGCTAATAGCAAGTGAATAAAAGGCAACAGTGTTGATGGTGACGAAATGGGGACAAAAGTTATGATGAGAGACAGATGACAGATTTTTCTGCATGTAACGTTGCTTGCTTCAACCGGTTTGATATACAGTACAAAGTATCGATCCGAATATGATGCCTGCATCTACAGTAGAACATGGCGAGAAAAAAATTCGATCCACAATTTTACTATAGACAGAGATTCTTTGCTTTGAAAAATTGGATTCTATTCTATGATTCGTGTTCTCGTAAAAATATTAATGCAATACAGCACAAGAAGATGACATGGCTGATGAAAACGTCACAGCAGCAGCAGCAGCAGCATTCGCACGCTACAAGTCAGCTAACTAAACCTTCGCCTTATACATGGTTGGATCCGTGGTGTCATAGCAACCTTCCTACCAGATATAATAGGTGCTGTTGTTGTTGTTGTTGGGTCCAATAGCGAATGGAACTTCAAACCCACAGGTCGCTTACTCGTAGGAGTATTGGGTGCTAATAATGTACGACTCACACCCAAGGGAACTTGAGACGACTCGTCTGTGAACCGACTATTACTTTCTGCATGATCTTGCTGGCTCTTGTTGGTGGTTCCGACGACAATGAATTCGCTGGCAGCTTGGACAATCGATTGTCGGACGTCTGGTCGCAACGATTTCATCTTGATGGTGTAATCATATCCGAGCTCAACCTTGGCTTGCATCAAGGCACTGTGCGCCACACTCCAAGTGCAACTGTGTTGCTGAATTAGTTCTTGTTCGAGGGAGGCTCTTTTCATGCTTGATATGAAACTCGCGGAAACTACAGCACAGTACTTGGTTTTATGATTGTGCAATATTTTTACGGCAAGTGTCTATTTGATGATGAGTCTTGTCAAACCTTTGGTTTTTAAACGTGCCAAATTGGTACGTTGCGGTACGTAGTCACGTTTTTGGTGAGTCGTGATGTGACTGGTTTGCTATTTATTCGACTAATGGTAGGGTGTCGGTTCTTGCCAACATTTATTGTATGATATAAATTTCTTAAAAGAAGATATCTTGCGGTGGATTGATTGATTGCTTCATTGATTCATTCATTCATTCTTTCAATTGTGGTACCATACTATGCATTGAGAATTGATTGATGAGTCCAGATGCAAGGAGACGTGCAAGTGGTGCATACAATATAAACCAGATGTCGAAATGGAGGAGGACAAGAAGAACCACATCAGCCGCACCAAGATACTAGTGCTAGTACATATTAATTTGTATGTTCTAGTATTATTTTGTATACCGGTAGCTACTAATTGTCAGCATTATGAGTCAGGTTTAATGTATGTCAGGTGCCAGTGGAACAACAACAATAACGATCGAATGAGACAAGAGAGGATCAAGTTTTCCATAGCCTACTCAAGACTGGCTGGTGACAATTGCAGTCAGATGATATAATAATTGAAAATGAATCCATTATTGGTTTTATTGTTTTGGTTCTGTAAATGCGATTGTAGCACCACTTATTGCAATCGAAATGAAATCATGAACTCAAAAGAGGACACATATCTCCAAACGTATACTCCAGCCACTTGGTGCCAATATCGTACAATGACGATGAGATGCACCACAGCTATATTCATCATACACGCTTTCTGGTGGTCCACTAGTATAGTGGATTTTGTAATCCGCTTTGACCATGCACTAGAGATGGTGAGTTCTCGTTCAAGACCAAAATTTTGAAATGAGCTATAGCATCCATCCATCCATCCATCCATCCATCCATCCATTGATCCACCAATAATAATCCATCCATTTGCAAAATCTGTCCATTGACTTCTGATACTCTATGTTTTCAAAAATGCACGACCACCCGCAGTCTTATTAGCAATGAGAGAGTTTGGGTCATGCAAGGAATGAAATTCCAAGCCAATCGGTCGCCTATTGGCGGGCACTGCCTGCAAACCCAGTGGGACTCCTCCTTGCGGCAAGTCAGCACCATTATTATTCTCTTGCTGGGTTTTGTGGCCATGTATGTTGTTGGCTGCTGATGCTGCTACTGTTTCGGCGTCAATCAATGCACTGGCAGCCTTGACAATCGATTTCTGGACATCTTTGGGCAATACCTTTAGCTTGACCGTGTAATGATGTCCAAGCTCCACTTTCGCACGCATTACGGCATGATGGGCAACACTCCATGTGCAGTTGTGTTGCTGAATCAATAGCTGTTCGGGGGATGGCTTCTTCATATGATCAACAAGGCAATGATAATCAATTAATCGTACCGTACAGTACTCTTTGACTGCTTTTGTGGTTTTTGTGACGTATTGCTATTGCTGTTTGCTGTTTGCTGTTTGCCGTTTGTAACTACTGTGTAGAGTGTGGTACTGCAGTACAGAAGGCAGCTCCGGTATTTTCTGTGACAATTCATGAGGATTCTGCTCTGTTCGATCGTAGCATTATTGATCTACCGGTACTGCTTCTGATCAGAATACATCACTCGTCCTCTCTTCTTTCGGAAGATGGTCATCATTGTACAAACGCCCATATTTTGTCATTGTAGTCATTACTTGATGCGGGCATATATGTATATCAGTACTGTAACATTGCGCACGACGGTCCGCGCGTCCGTTTTTGTAGGTATCTTGGTATCATACCCCCAATTCATGCGGCTCCTCACGCACCTATTCCCCCAAAATACAGCGATTTATTTCGTCATCACATCTCGTCATCATCGTCATCATCATCAGTTTACTTTGGCCCTTTTCTCTCCAACTGCGACTGAAATATGGTGTACTTCAACTCCAACGACAACGGTCACAAAATGAGACGACTCGTCCGTCTTTTAGATCTCTTGTCCGTCTTTTACAAGGTTGACCTTGCAAGAACTGACTGAGAATATAAGGCAGCACCAACAACAACAACAACACCTGAAGGATTCTCATCATCATCGATTCACATCGCAATAACGGCCTTCTTAACGATCGATTAGAATGTCACCAACATCATCATTTAATATCACCGATGTCAATTCAAGTTGCTCGTCATCGTCATCATCGTCATCATCGTCATCATCATCATGCCGGGTTCGGGTCGATGCATCATCCACTACTGATCATAATAGTAATGATCATGAAAGCGGCATAAGTGATGGCACGAGTTTGTACGAAGTGGTTTCATCCGAAGGCAATAATGACGACGAATTCACGGAAGTTTACGAAGAGGTGACGGTAACTTCCAATGATAATGACCAAGTCTTTCTACTACAAGATACTATTACCGTCCGCAATGATAATGGACACAACAATAATGACGGCGTCGTATCTAGTAGCGAGGACGATGACTTTGTGTTTGAAGAAATCACAGTCTCCTCCTCCGACGACGAGGATGGTCAGTTTGGTCTTCCAACGACTCCCACCAAGTCCAGCATGAAGACATCCTGGGGAGCCAGCAATGTTTTCAACAACAACAACAACAATTTCAACAACAAAAAGAGCGGCCAGCAGTATCATCTATCTCCGATATCCGAAGGAGCAAGAAATAGTTTGCTGGACAGCAGCGACAATGACAATGATGAGGAAAAATTAGTTTCTACCAACCAAGATGGCATCAACACGAATGACAAAGCCAGTCCTGAAATGGATACTTCCACAGTCCTATCCGCCACCACGAATACTACCGAGGCGACATCCTTTGAACTCCAGCTTCCCAAATTACAAGTCCAAGTCAGCGGCCTTTCTTGTTTTATGGATTTGCAAAGTGTGACTGGATTCAATACAACTCCCACCAATAATGTCGGCTACAATCATTGTGGTGGTGGTGGTGATACTAATGGCAAGACAAGACAAACTCGTCAGCTTGACAATGATGATGACGATGAGGATGACGATGAGGACCAGATAATAGCCCGTACTACTACAAGTACTATCCACAAATCATTAAAGAAGGAGTCGCCACCTCGTCGCAATGGCATGAGCATGGAAGAATCATCCGTACCCTGGAATCATCAACATCATCCTTCCACCGCTTTGACAGCTCCGCGTCCATCTCTTCGGAGTCCCTTTTCGAAATCATCAACAGCGGCTAGATTGGGCTCACCAACAATGATGGGACCAGCATTACATGAGAAGAAGAAGGAACAAGAAGAAGGATTTGAACTGCGACTCTTGATGCAACGACAGATTAGTGGTCTGTCTGTTGGTTTGGAAAGTGTCAATGAAGAAGAAGAAGAAGAAGAAGACGATCAAGGGGTCGCTTCCGATGAAGCAGAGCAAGTCACTACTACTAGGAATCATCACCATTACAATCATCGGACGACTCGTACTACTATGAAGAAGATGACTCCAAAGAAGCTGTCTCCGCCTCGCCGCAATGGTATGAACATGGGAGAAACGACGAAAGCACCGTGGAATCATCCTCGCTCATCTCCTCGCAGTCCCATGATCCGACCAACCAACTCGCGACGAGGCTCACCAATGGGACAACTACATCACCAACAGCAGCAATACCAGAAGGAAGAAGGATTTGAACTACGGCTCTTGATGCAACGACAGATTAGTGGCCTCTCTCTTGGTTTGGAAAGTGTCAATGAAGAAGAAGAAGAAGAAGATCAAGCGGTCGCTTCGGATGAAATAGATCAAGTCAATAGGAATCATTATCATCATCATCATCATCAAGACAATCATTTCAAAACATCCTTCCATTCTCCGAGGGCTGCTTTGGTTAGTAACAATGGTAGAACGGAACTTGGAATTGGTACGACGAAAAAGCGATTGTCCACCATTGA